AAAATGCTTATGAAGGTCAGAAGAGGGCATCGGATCCCTTTGAACTGGAGTTACTGATGGTTGTTAGCTGCCATGTGGGTGCTGGAAACCAAACCAGGTCCTCTATAATAGAGTAACCAGTGCTCTTAACCACTGAGCCATCTCTCCAGCACTACTAACAAAATTTTAAAACATTCTGACATGATGCTGTAAAGTCCAAACGTTACAGCTTTTTTCTTTAACACTTTTACCACAAACTGAACATGTACACACGATTCTGTCACAGCTTGGTTTTGTTGTGAAGGATACCCTCAGTTTGCAGGATGTGTAAAGGCACACAGGACTCCAGCCACTAAATGCCTGTAGCATAAAGGAAGCTGGTGTTTGTAGAGTGATGAACATGAGCTTGGGCCAAAGAGTAATCCAGGGAGAAAAGAACCCCAACTGCCCACTAACGGTGCCCACTAAAATGACTCCAGACATAGATAAAATTCTCCCAGGGATAACCATTAAGCAAACACCAAAGTCCAATTTTCAAGCACCTTCTATGCCTGTAACTTTAACAGAATAGTTGTGGCCACTGTTGTTTTCTTTTTCTCTGTTTTGGAGACAGGGTCTCGAGCAGTCTAGGCTGGACTCAAACTGTTTACATAGCAGGGAATAATTCTAAACTCAATCTTTTTACCTCTACGCCCCAAGAGCTGGGATTACACACAGGAAGCACTGCACACAGCTTGTTTCCTGTTTTCTTTCTTAACTCATAAATAAGTCTGGCTAAATGAAACTTTTTATACACACCATCCTAGAATTTTCTTTAGGCTTTATTCTGGTAAAGGTTAATCTCGACGTACCATACTTTACTGAGATAGTTCTGTACTTTAAAAAATTTTTAAAAATATTTTATTTTTATTTTATGTGTATGAATGTATTGCCTATGTGTGTGTGAGTGCACCCGTGTCATGCAATGCTGCGAAGGTCAGAAGAAGGCTTTGGATTTTCCTGGAACTGGAGTTAAGGATGGGTCGTAGCTGCATGTGGGTGCTGGGAATTGAACCCGGGTCCTCTATAAGAGCAGTCAGTGCTCTTAACTGCTGAACCATCTCTGCAGCCCCAGTTCTGTACTTTTTGAGTGCATTGAATTGCAAGACACATCCTTGAAAACCCTTAAAATTTGCAGATAACATCACAAATAAACCACACAATAATGCAACAAGCATTTATTAAACACCTACTGTGTGCTCAGCACTGTACTAGGCACTAGAGGGTACAGTGATACAAATGTTAGTTATTATTCCTGCCCTCAAGGAGCTTACAGTTTAATTCTGGAAATAAATACAAATGTGAAACTGTAATACAGACAGCTAGAAAACAATTACAGAGCAACATATTAATAATTGCATGGATCACAGTATAAACTTCAAAGTTAAGTGTTGGGGCAGCACAGAAAAGGGGGAGGTGTGAGGTGCAGTCCATCAGGGAATCTCACTCACAAGACATAAAGGAAGCTAGGTTTCGCAGAGAGTGATGAACACAAGCCAGGGCCAAAGGGAAATCCAAGTAAAAAAGAACAGCATGGAAAAGGCACGGAGGCAAGGGCTTGGAAGACAGCAGTAGGCAGCTGTAGGAGGTCTGAGGGTGATGAACAGGTCAGCACGTTATAGAGTAAGGAAGGTCGGAAGATTAAGCATGGAGGGAAGGTGAGGAAACAACACTGCTCTGTTAAGAGTTACCTCCTGAAAGCTGAGTAAAAGCAAGATACTGTGAAAATGAATGGGAGTTTGAGAGCTGTTGGCAGTGTTGTACAAGATGGAGATTCTGAGAGGAAGGAAAACTGGAAAGATAGTAATTTGGGTCCACATGACATGGATCTGTGTGGAAGGCCATAAGGGGGTAACAGAAATGTAAAACAGACGAAAGGATAAGAAAAACCAAGCCTCAAGAAGACTTAAGAGTTAGCTCAACAAGATTTTGGCCTGGAGAGTGGAGGGCAGAAAAGGATGAAATAACTTCACAGTTGGGAAGAGAAACACGAAGGGTAATGGTCCTGTTGGGGGAACAGCAGACAAGCAACGCAGCTTGTGTAAAAGGAAAATGCAGACTGAGGGAGAAGAGTTATGAGTTGTTTTCCAAATGCTGGGGTGCGTAGGGAATCTACGGAAAATGCCCACGGAGTAAGATGGCACACACAGTGGGAATGTGAAGTCACTTGAAGACAGGAAGCAACAAGATGGATAAATAGGGTTACACAGAGAAAGAGAGGCTATTCTTAGCATGGGCTTAGCATGGGGGAGAAAAAAAACTAATAAAGAGAAGCCAGATGAAGAAAAATGACCTAAAAAGATTCCATAAGCCAAAGAAAGGAGAAGAAATACTCCTGAAGAGCAGGGGAATTCCACAGCACGAAACAAATGAGGCTGAGGATAAGAACTTAAAAAGCCACTCGTCCGTTGGCCATTCCATAGCATTCTGCAGAATTCTGACAATGACAGCCAGTAAGCAAAGGTTTTAAGAGTTCAGGCGGAAACTGGTTAAAAACGACCAACATGTTTGAAAACCAGGAAAGTAGGAGCAACAGCACAGGGCTAGAAATGAGCAGGAAGCCTGAGGGTTTCCCACTGTCGGCTGTGGGTTAGCTAACACCACCATCCTAACTGCCATCTGACCAGTCTGGAATCTAGATCTTCATTTCCTTCCATAATTCTTCTTTCCTTGGGCAGTTTACAGAGAAATGTGAATCTCTAAGTTGTTATTTGTTTTGTCTTCTATGTGTTTCATTGATATAATTTAATTCTCTTGAACTAAAAGCATTGAGTGTAAACATCTTTAACATGGTTTAACCCCAAAACTTTTAACCAGTTTTCTAGTAATTGCAATGGATTTGTACTACATTACACACTGAGCCAGTGTCTCTGATGACCAAAGATACATGGTGTTAAAAGGGCTGGACAGCTTCAATATTCACTGTAGGTAATGAAGCACAGTGGTCAGCACAGGCTCCAGCAACAGACAGATTGGTTAGAATCTGTTCTGACACTTACTGGTTATGTGATGTTCGTCAGCTCTCCGGCCTCTACTTCATTAGCTATAAAATCTGGCATGCTGCAATAACAGCAATCTTCAGTAGGATAAATGTTTAACTTAGGGTTTGGAACACAACAAATGCTCAGAATATACCAGCCATTATAACCTGATAGCTTAGAAACAGGGCAAAGCTAAACTGATCCATGTTGGAATCAACCACCACATTCTCAAATGGCCGTCCTGCCGTCTCAGGGCTATGCCGGATGGCAACTGAATTAGGAAGAACCATTTTATCATGCCAGCTCCTAAAATGAGAAGCTGGGATGGGAGAAGAAAGTACTGGTGAATAACTCATTTCAGATTAAAGCACAAGAACAAGAGGCTAGAGACATGGCTCAGAGGTCGAGAGCATGTATTATTCTTACAGAGGACCCGAGCAATTCCTAGAAACTATCCCAGGCAGTTCTCAACTCCCTGCACTCCAGCTCCTGGGGAATCTAACATCTCTGGCTTACTCAGGTACCTATACTCACATGCACATTGCCACACACAGACAAACACATATACACACAAATAAAAATCAAAATAAGAGGCTGAAAAATAGAATGTGCAGGATAAAGGAGCCAAATGCATGCCAGTCATAGTTAAGAGCTCAAAATAATGTCATGTAGATTGATCGGTAATATTTCAATGCTCCGTGAACTCAGATTAAGAATGGCTTCTATATATCTTAAAAGAATTCAGTCTTTTCTTATATGCCATTTGGCTATTTCTATACACATGCTGAATCAGTTGTGGTAACTCACTTTTAAAATTTTAACTATGTGTATGTGTACATGTCTGGGTGAGGGTATGTGCATATGAGTGCAAGTGCCCAGAGACCAGAGGTGTTGGATTCCCGCTTGAGCTGGAGTTACAGGCAGTCATGTGCTGCCCGATGTGAGTGCTGGGAAGAGAGCACTGGTCCTCTGCAGGAACAGTAGCGATCTTAACCTCCGAGCCATCTCTCCAGCCCTGATAATTTAAAAAAAAAATTTGTTCTTTTTATTTTATGTGTATGAGTGTATTGCTTGCATGTATGTAAGTACCTGTATCACGCAATGCCTGCAGAGATCAGAAGTGGGTGTTGGATGCCCTGGAACTGGAGTTATGGACGGTTATGAGCCACCATGTGGATGCTGAGAACTAAACCTAGGTCCCCTGCAAGAGCAGCCAGTGCTCTGCTCCAATTTTTTTAAGACAACATCTCACTATGTAGCTCTGGCTGGCCATCTACCTCTGCTTCCCTCTGCTGGGATTAAAGGTGTGAACCACCATGCCCGGTTTCAATAACTCATTTTAAAATTACAGTCTTTTCTCACATCCACCTCACTATAACATTAAGCTTCCTAGACATTTTCTCTGAACTTCTGCCAGATACTTAGTAATTCTGAGACTGAAGTAATCGGATATATATTACTAGGGGTACTAATGCTAAATTAGCAATTTATTGGAAATGAAGGCAAGTGTTCCTAAAAAGTATATTCTAGGAGTAGGTATGTATACAGACATGTGCACACATACATTTATTTTCCCTCTGACAGTGTACCCATCCTGTATTACTTCTGCACACAAGGCATCACTGGCTTCAGGCAGAATTCATATATCCTATAGAAAGGGTAAGGCACATCTGAAGTGAGAAGCAAAATCACAACAAGGGTAGATTTACCTGTTTTTAGTTTCTTAAAAATTTTTAGACCCTGTCTGGAAAAAAAAAAAAAAAAGTTATTGGGGCTAGAGAGAGGGCTCAGTTCTAGCAGTTAAGTTCGTACTGCTTGCAGAGACTTTAGGGATATTAGGAATGGTAATCTTTGTTAAAAGAAAAAAACAAAAACAGAAAAGAAGAAAAAGGACTATTCTGACCAGTGACACTAAGATGACAAGTGATGATTAAGTACTAACAGCTCAAGGAAGCACACAGTAGATAACCTTGTTGTCCGTGGTCAAAGGGGTTAGGAATGGTAATCTTTGTTAAAAAGAAAAAAACAAAAACAGAAAAGAAGAAAAAGGACTATTCTGACCAGTGACACTAAGATGACAAGTGATGATTAAGTACTAACAGCTCAAGGAAGCACACAGTAGATAACCTTGTTGTCCGTGGTCAAAGGGGACTTGGGTGGTACAGAGATATTAGAAAAGGAACTTACAGTCTTAAGTGTGGACTTCTGTGAGGTCATAAAAAACACACTTGCTCCTTTTATGGTACAGTCACAGAATGAAATTCTCTCGGAGATTTTATCAAAACCTACCTTTGTGTGTTCTGAATAAGATTAATGGGATAATTTTAAGTATGAAGATGTTGGAAAACAAGTTATTCAATTCCAAGCCCATTAAGTAAGCATCTAATCAAATGGACAAACATGAAATGTGATTAATAGTAACAGATGGTTTTCTTACAGTCTAGTAAATAAGAATTCTAAAAATCTTCCAAATATTTGGAAGCACAGTAGCACTATTGGAATAATAGTACTTGAGAGTAAGCATTTTAGCAAGTGCTTACTAAGTAGTAAGTACAAAGGACCCAACTGAAAGGGGACCCCAGTTTTGGATGCATAAGACCTGGCGTGTAGGTTTAAAACCAGTCTCATTTCTTCATACAATACCTGGTGACAACATGTCTTTGTTTGTAGACGACGGATGGAGTACACCAGAATTCAGAATCAGGCACAGTGAGGTAAGGTATCTGCCAGATTCCCACTGTGGGTATTAAAGCTATACAAATGGCAGGACACAGATGGAAGCTGATGAGAGGTGCTGAGGCCCTCTGAGAAGGCGGATCTAGGGTGACATGTAGTCAGCAGTTCGCACAAGCTAACAGGAACTTGAGGGCAGTACTGTGAGGTGCATTATCTGTGAAGATTTTTATGTCTTTTCCAAGCACTTCTGTCTCTTTATGACACCGTAACTAGGACAGTGCAAATATCTTTTGTACCACGGTGTACAGTGGGGAGGTGGAAGGAGAATCAGAAGTTACCTTGAGGTACAACTATCCACGCTCAAGAATAGCCAGGCTGAGTCTCCACTCACCTCTTTCTCTGCATCACTCTCACAATCACCACTAACGCGTCCACTTCCTTTGCTGACACAGGTACTGAGACTGGGGGTGATGAAGGTATGTACAGATGCTCAGTGACTCAATGGAGTCAGTAAGGGTGCCAAATGAAGAAAATGCTGGAATGCTGTTAAAATATAGCATTGAGTTTGCAGAGAAATATGGATTTCTACCAACTAGAGGTTTTAGAAGAAAACAAACACTTGAACATAAATATGCTAAGTTTCTATAAAAAACTTCCCTCTGACTAGGGTATTAGAAAGCTAAGTACAAATATAAGTCTCACTGAAAGGTTGCCTTGGATTCAAGCAGCTTCTTAGGTTAGGATTTATAAGCGCCCCTTCAGAGGGATGAGAGATGGGGACCACAGGAGATGGCAAGAAGCAGAGGGGCTTGGAGCCTCTCTCAAGCCTACGGCTACTCATCTGAAAGACAAAGTATAGTGCTTCAAGTCAAAACTAGCAACTTACTCTAGCGCTGTTAAAGTTCTGAAGACTGTATTAAGCTGCTGGGAGCTCTCGCTTCATCAGATATTCAAAGACAGCTAAGCTAATCAACCTGTATCAAGGCATTGGGCCCAAACTACTGAAGAGCTATTTGTAACTTTGTTCTCACTACAGATACTTCCACTAAACAACAAACTTCTTGCCTTTTTCACTGGACCTTTCTACCAGTGCATGGTTTCTATTTTGCTAATTAATGTTCAAACTACAACCAAAGCTTTCCCTAAACTCCTGTGGTCTCAGGTTTTTCTCCACTGTGGATTCTTTGATGTCGAATGAGACTCGATCTCTGAATAAAGGCTTTCCCACACTCATTGCACTGATAAGGCTTCTCCCCTGTATGTATTCTCAGATGCTGAATGAGGCCAGTGTTACCATTAAAAGCTTTCCCACATTCTTTACACTTATAGGGTCTTTCTCCAGTGTGGATTCTCTGATGTTCAATGAGGCCTGACTTCTGACTGAAGGCCCTCCCACACTCATTGCATTTGTAGGGTTTCTCCCCAGTGTGGCTCCTCTGATGGCCAATAAGATGTGAGCTTCGCCTGAAGGTTTTCCCACACTCATCACACTCATAGGGCTTCTCCCCAGTGTGAATTCTCTGATGTCCAATGAGGTGTGAACTGTGACTGAAAGCTTTCCCACATTCATTACATTCATAGGGTCTCTCTCCACTGTGGATTCTCTGGTGCAAAATAAGGCCTGCACTCTGACTGAAGGCCTTCCCACACTGATTACACTGATAGGGCTTCTCCCCAGTGTGGATTCTCTGATGCAAGATCAAGCCTGTGTTCTGACTGAAGGCTTTACCACATTCCTTACAGTGATAACGCTTCACTTTGTTGTGGATATCCTGATGGGAAAGAAGGGCTGACCTGTAACTGAAGGCTTTACCACATACATTACACTGATAGGGCTTCTCCCCAGTGTGGATTCTCCAGTGGCGAACAAGGCCTGAGCTCTGAGCAAAGCTTTTCCCACATTCATCACATTTATGCCGTCTCTCTTGGGTGGGATTTCCCCGCTGCCTCTCTAATCTGCCCAGAAGGTCTTGGGTGTCTCCATGCTCAAGACCCCTGATAACATCCCCGTTGCACTTGGCAGCTGTCTCTCCATGGGTATGGACTCCGGCAGGTATTACCTGTTCTGAAGCTGATCCCTTGTTCTCACTCCTGGTCTCACCACCTGAAATAAACATGGAGCAATTAATCATCCTGGATGGCACTTTCTTTTCTTTTTGAAAAAAGTTTATTTTAGATATGTTTTTAGATATGTGTGTTGAATGTGTGTACATGTGCCCTCAGAGGCCAGAAGAGGGTGTTGGATCCCCTGGAGCTAGAGTTAAAGGTGGTTGTGAGCTGCTTGACATGGGTCCTGAGAACCAAACTCAGGTCCTCTGGAAGAGCAGCAAATGCTCTTAACCATCTCTAATGCTCTGAGCCATCTCTGCAACCCCTCAATGTTTCTATTATCTATGCTAGGAGAAACGAAATGAAGAGGGAGGAAAAGAAGTCCACATGGAATCTACAAGTAAATAAAGACTTCTCTATTCAAAATAGCTTCATAATAGGGGGAGACATACAGGTTAATCAAGCAGAAGTACCAGAGGCCAACTGGGGAAGAAGTGCCGGGAAGAGAGTAAAGTTGGGAAGGGACCAATTAAGAAGCAGAGGCTAGGAGTGGGAGGAGCTAAGGAGCTAAAGGATTACTAAGTGGGAGAGAAATATGCAAATGTACCAAACAGTCCTAAAAGGAGTGGAAGTACAATAGACTTCTGTGACCAAAAAAGCCCTAAGCCAGGGTCCAGTGGGAACTGAGAGAAGAAATGTGTGAACTCAGTGAGTACCACAGAGATGCCAATTTCTGACTGGAAAACAGTACTCAGGTACAAACTACAGAATTCTTGCATCAGAGAATACAATGTTTCAGTTTAAAACTCAAGAAGGCTCAAATCTGCATCCATCTCTTGAATCCTAAGTTTCTTTTGAGGCTTTATTAAAAAGTTTTCTTTTTACTCATGTGTATGTGTACCACACATGTGCAGGTCCCCACAGAGGCCAGGAAAGGGTGTTGGATCCTGGAGTTGGAGTTATAGGTGGTTATGAGGTGCCTATGGAGTTTCTGGGAACAGAACTCTGGTCCTCTGGAAGAATAGGAAGCACTCTTATCCACTGAGCCAGCTCTACAGCCCTGATCCTGAGTTCAAGTATGTCCTCCAGAAATCTCATAAAGCTATCAGAAACATTAACAAACAAAAAAATCTTAAATTATAATAACCACAGCTCTCCTTACCCAGGGAGAACATGTTGTAATTCTCAGGTCTGTTTTCTCTATTCGGATCCTTCTGTGATGGGTCAAGAAGCCACTCCTCTCGAATAAGAGACACAGCCATGTCTTCGATCTTTTCCAAAGTCTGAAATAAAACAAGACTCTCATTTGGGGCCTGGAAAGGCTCCACAGTGCAAACCTAGGGTGTATGTCAGAAGAGGACAGAGGGGCAGGAATGTGCTAGGTAATGGGATCTGAACAGCTGGGAGGTAGAGAAAAGTGCACTAGATTTATTGGGAGAAAATCAAAGATCAATTTCTCATTAAGCAAGAGTTTAGTTATTAAATAGGCACTGCTACAGACAGTCATTGACATGCCACAGCACTGTCAATTAGGGATGGGCTTTTAGTTCGAAGGAGCACAACTCACCTGGAACCCTGCTGTGAGAAGTGAGGCTGCCATCTTATCTCCAGAACTTCCTTTCTGGGAAGGAGCAGGACTCTGAGAAGAAGACATGGCTAAGGGGAGAAAGGAGCCGTGAACAGACCAGCCTTGTATGGCTGTGGGTGTCAGCATTCACTCCTCCCTAATTATTTTTATCCCAGCATATACATAGGCCAAGGATTTTGCACAAAAAGTGCTGACATCTGGGCCCGTATCTATGGTTCCCACAGAACATATGCACTTTAATGCCCTTGAACTTCATTTAAAGGCAAGGGGCTGGAGAGATTATTCAGAGGACCTGGATTAGTTTCCTAGCACCCACATGGCAGCTAACAATTATCTGTAACTCCAGTCCTGGGGGATCTGACACCCTCTTCTGGCCTCCAAGAGCACTGTATGATATGGATGAACTTACATGCAGGCAAAACACTCATACACATAAGATAAAAATAATAAATACATACCAAATTGTACAGGTATAGTATTCTTTTAGATTCTGATGGTCTAGCAAACTGAATACAAGAACCAACCTACTGCTATTAATTGTTACCTTTCTGATGTATGCCATGGCTGCCAGTGTCTACTTACCATGGATATTAAGCATCTTATCACCCAAATCAACATTATAATTGGCCACCATATGTCTTGGGCAACAAGATTTAGGACTTTAGAAAAGAATCATATTATTCAGTGTTTCTATGCGCATTCTTTGGAAATATTAAAAATTCACAGCCTTTTGGCTAATATCAAGTACAATACTGAAGGCCCATTTATATGCTAGGTGGGGTGGCATATGTGGGTCATCCAGCAACTGTGGCAGAGGCAGGAGCACCACAGATATGAGCCCAGCCTGACTCACACTGGAAGCTCCAGGCCAGTCAGCAGTACAAAGAGACCGTTTCAAAAGGCAAAAAATAAAACAAAAATTCATTTATATAAAACAAAATGCTATAAATCTCATAAATGAAAAATGTGGGGGAAGATGAGCTAGAAGTATCTTGTTCTGTAGAAAATAAGGTAATTTTTGAAATACGATGAACAAATGTCAGGGAGACACAGAAGGCAGACTTAAGGGCTGTGCCGGGCCGAATCTGAGATGACTTAAGCGTTAAAACAAAAAGACAGTAAGAGAATGTTTTTGGAAGAATTTATACATCCATGTTGGTAAACAGTAGTAATAAAATGAAGCACTGGGGACAGAGCTAGGTGGTAGAGTATTTCCCTTGGATGAGTAAGGCCCTGAGTTAGGTCCCCAGCACCCTTGTATAGCTTCAGGTCTACAACCCCAATGTTTGCAATCGGAGGGGGGAGGAGCAGAGACAGGCAGATCCTGGTCAGCCAGTCTACCTGAAGTGATGAACTCCAGGTTCAGTGAGACCCTGTCTCAGAAAATAAGACAGATGGGCCTGCAAGAGGATTCTGGGTAAAAATGCTTTCTGTGCAATCCTGATGACCCAAATTTAATCCCTGGAACCTAGAGATGGAAGGACAGAACCAACTCCTGAAGAAAGCTGTCCTCTGATGTCCAGGCACACACGCGCATGTACACATACATACACACACACACACACACACACACACACACACACACACACACCTTAAAATGGAAAGAAGTGACTGTTCTTTAAAAGTAACACCACATCAATGTAGAAGGAATGACAGAAAACCCTTTGTTAGCTGGTTCAACAATCACTCAGTTAAGAAGTAACAATAAAATAGAAAAGGAAACATCAATAAATATTAAAACTACTGTTTTATCAACAAATTGGATAGGGACTAGGATCTTTACACAGCCGTATAACTATTTCCCCATAAACTACTTTTTAATTGTAAAGGGAAAAATAGTAACTTTGCAGAGATAACCTAGCAAGATTAACCTTAATCAACTCATCAAAGATAACATCTCAATAATGAAATTTCTGGAGTGTCCTACCAAGTACATACAACTTAAATATGAGAAAATATCAAGTGGTCCCAAGTCTGTAGCCATTCTACAAAAAACTAACCTGTATTATTTAAAATTGCTAAGATCATGAGAAGACTGAGAAAGAACACCAAATTAAAGGAGACTAAAGAGATTTATGACTAACTGTGCACTGTGGTCTTTGGCTGGACTCCGGACCAGAAAAAACTTTGAGACCACTGGCAAAACCGGAGTATGCACTGTGGACTAGATTGGTATTACGCCAACATTTTGACTCTTAACGGTGCTCATCTTCCTGTTGCTGTCTAGAAAATGCTCCAATTAAAGGAATGCATGTCAAGAATTTGCAAATAAAATGGTATGATACTAACAAAATCTAAAAAATGTCTGCAGTAAATGTACTGGGATAACAAATATGTGACTACATAAAAAGAACCCAGGTTCTGTGTTGTACATCTACCACTAGAGCTGACAGCCAGTAGTGACGTCTACTGTTGTGGACACTGTCCTCTGGGCCTCTGGGTCACTGCCCTCCTGAATTCCCAGCAGCTTTTTGGGCCTATTAACCTCTGCCATGGAGGGTCAGGGGATCATGAGACCCCTCCTCTTCCTGAGTGGTTAGTGGGGAAGGATCACAAGCCTTCATATGGGCAGTTAATTGTTGCTGGGAAAGAGACACTTTCTTCAATAGTATAGCTAAGCTGCCATGTTCCTATCAATAATCCTTGACCCTGACCTTAATTAAACTCACTGGTTCACCAAGCTAGACTTTGGTCAATGCTTGGTGCCCTAGCTGGGGTGAACAGATGTTTGTTCTTTTCCATAGGAAAAGTCACACAATACTTTCATTGACATATTTCTGGAGACTGGGACTACTCTGTACATGATGCTAGTTCCTGGGTTGGATGGGTATCACAAATATGTCTTTTTCCTTCTGCTTTCCCCATCTTTACTGGTGATATCTGCCTTCTCACCTCTCTGCTGTGGCCTCTGGGGCACTAAAGGGTTATGCTTGGCTGTCACAGGCAGAAGCTGAGTACTTGGAGGTTCTGGTGGAGGTTCCGAAGGCATCACTTCCTCCCAGAGAACCCTGTGCTCATGTGCACGAGCTGGGACCTGGAAATAATGGAACATCTAGGTTACAAGGAATTCTTCTGAGAAATGAACAGGGTAAGAGAGCCAATGACTCACTGACAGGGGTTCATGCTTGGGAAAGCAAGTACTGGAATCTCACTTCTTAGGGCAGCACAAAACACTACTACAGAATAGCACAGAGAAAGGCTTTGTTTCTGCTCAGCACTAAAGGAAAGGTTTCTGTTGATGTCTCTTCTGCTACATCAAGCACCAACTCCAGGATGAGAGAAAGAACAACAAAGAAAAAAACTACAGCATGACCATATAGTACCAAAACACCCTTCTGATTAAGTGCTAGGAGTCTGTGTTCTAGGAGACAGTCATTTTTACTTATCTGAGTGAGGTAGGCAGGCACTGGGAGTAGTTTAGCAAACTTCACTTGTTTCTGTGCTGTGCACACAGAGCCAACCCTCTCTGAACACTGCACCTAGCAACCTGTTAGCAACCAAGGACCCCCACTCATATCCACACCCTACTCTGAACAACGGAATAAGGTTCTATTCCCCTTAACAACCATGAAACTTAGACATAGTCCACTTAGTCATATTCCAGTTCTCTGTGGGTAACAAAGGTAAGGCACTGATCAAGCCTAGACTGGTTTTGGGGAACATGAGCAATGAGGCAAAACTGTGTACGATGAGATAGTGGGATACCCCCACTATCCTCCTTAGCAACCCAACTCCTTCTCTTTAACTCCATAAATGGAAGTCCCAAACAGTAACCAAGGCCTTTGGGTACCCTCACTTACATGGCCCACTGTCACTCTTCTGACAACATAGCTCTGATTTGTATCACTGCTTTGATTTTGAATAGTTTTCTTGCTATGTTTGCAATCTGTGTAGGGCTTTTAATTTCTTGAACGAGAGGTCAGAAACACCTGGCAGCCCTGAACTACCAGTAACATGGAAAGCCCTGAAAAAATTCTCTAAGCTCTCTGTGTATCACGCTCCCATCTAATAAACAAGGACAATGAAACAACTGTCTGGCCTTACGTGGATATAAAAAGGACTATATCCTTTACAAAATCAAAAGGAAATCCACAAGTATATTATGTAGTACATGCTAATCATTTTCATCCTCATTCAACAGAAACCAGTTCATGGAACTTATTCCCACGGTGTGGCCAACTTCTCCACCCTGTTCCAGAACTTCAGCCACAGTGCACACAGCTACTTACTGGCCGTCCCAGGATGTCAATCTGCCTTTCCAAGTCCTCCAACAGGGTCACCACCTCTTCTCCATCCTCTAGCTGGTGTTCCTTAACCAGAGTCTGCAGCTCCTCAGGCAGGATGGTCAGGAACTGCTCCAGAACCAGCAGCTCCAGAATCTGCTCTTTGGTGTTCAAGTCTGGACGAAGCCACTGATGGCAAAGTGCCCGGAGTTGGATCAGAGCTTCCCGGGGTCCCAGTGTCTCCTGGTAGCGCAACTGCCTGAAGCGCAGGCGAAACAGCTCTTGGCCAGGAGCGTGATTTTCCTGAAGGCTAGATTCCTCTTCCCAGCCATGATCCTCCTCTACCTTGACGATGACAAGGTCCTCTTCAGAGGCCTGGGCTGGTGGAGATGGGGCTGAAGAAGGTTTTCTTGATTCTGTAGCCATTTAGGGCCAAAAAGCTCAGAAGGCTTCCTTCCTCTACCTTCTTTGTTTTCCTAAAGACCTTCTGAGGGCCTCCAGGATACTTCTTCCAGAAGAGAAAATGATAGTGTTACGGCAAGGCAAACATCACAGGAACTTACCAAGATAAGCTCCCCCTCACAACATGGACTTCATGGCTCAGCTATTTAAACGACCCTCTTCACTGTTCCAGAAACACACCTCCTAAAATCATGTGCCAAACCCTCCCAGGGAGTAATCCCTTCTTTCTGCTTTCCCTGTGTAGGGCTTTCCCTGTGTAGGGTTGTGGAGGATGGAGACATGGAGACTGTGTATTTAATTCAGGTGACCCTCAGTACTACTCGGCTAACTCCTGGTAGCACCTTGTATACCAGCTACACATCACTGCTTCTACATACTTCGGCTCCCACCCTTTCCCTTGTTCTCAACAGACAAGATTAGTTTCCATACAATGTGGCACAAAGAACTCTTCTAACACTGTCCTCTTGTCTGCCTGTGCTCCCTATCGACCTCCCCATCTCCAGGCTGACTTCTACCTTGGACTCCATCTCTTAGTCATAGAAACTGATTTAGAGCAGTGTCTCTGCAAGGAACCAGGATGCTTTATCAACATTCACACTGCCAAAATCACACACCATACGCTGACCTTCCAGAATGTTATAGAAATGAAATACAGTATTTTGAGTCTGACATATTTCACTGAGCAGAACACTCATGGTATTAATCAATATTACATCAGTTTATTCATTATGCAAATGTTTTTCCATTCTCTACCTGGTGAGATGAGCTGTTTTTAGTTTTTGATAATGACGAAACCCACAACGAACATGCACATACATGTTCTTGTCTGAGTAGTTTTTACTCCACTAGTACAAAACCCAGAAGCAAAATTTTTAAGTCCTAAGTTTATGTAAGAACTGCCAATTGTTTTCCAAACTGGCTATATTTTGCATTCCACTGGCACTTGACACTGTTTTCCTCTAAGTTTTGCCTATTCCAATAGGCGTGTGGTAATGTGTCATGCTTTTAACTTGTTTCCTATCGATGCTGAGGGTCTTTTGTCATCTGTTTATCTTTGTGAGGTATCTATTTGAAACTTTCAGCTGTTCCTTCTTTTGCTGTTTGGTTGGTTTTGACAGGGTCTCACTATATAATACCCCAAGCTCGTACTCGAGCCTCCTAAGTGCTGGGATAACAGGCGTGTGCCACCTCACCCAGCTGTATTTACTAAAGAGTTAGGTTTCGTTGAGACAGGGTCTTGCTAAGTAGGTCAGTCTCGTGGCACTCACTGTGTAGCCCAGGCTGATCTTGAATTTGTGATCCTCTTGGCTCTGTCTCTCAGTACTGGGATTATATGCATGTGACATCATGCCCAGCACAATATTAGTTTGTAATTGAGGGTCTTTTATTCCTTAAAGATTTGAGAATTCCTTCTATAGTCTGTATACAGGACCTTTATGATTTACAAATAGTGATTCCCTTTCATTCTTTTAACTGGCTTTTGAAGAAGACATCTGTAATTTTTTGAAGTCTAGTTCACTGAAATGTTAAAGAATTGTGCCTTTGATGCCAAATCTAAGAAATGTTTGCTTACTTCCACATCAAAAAGATTTTCTTCTAAAAGCTTAATAGTTTTACTTTTTGTTCTATGTTCTGTTTTGAATTAAGTTCAGCACAGAGTTTGGGGTGTGGATGGAGATTCCCCCTCCTTGAATACAGATGTCAATTTGCTTTGGTACCATTTGCAGAAGGGATGATTCTAATGTACTGAATTGTCTTTTTATCTCTGTCAAAAGATTATAATGTGGGCCTATTTCTGGCATCTCTAATGTTACCTTGACCTACAAGTCTCCTTTCATTGATACAAAACAGACTTGATGGTTGTGTAGAGAGAAGAGCTATGTGACCACACAGTCAGAGAGGAGAAGAGCATGGCTGTAAACACCCTGACTGGGACTTCCAATCTCACTGATGTAAAAGAACACATTTTTCAGTATTAAGACACAGAGTTTGTGATACACTTATACTAGACCCAAGGCACAAACATTTGGTCTGGGAGACTTCTAACAAATACATGGAACGGTATTGTTCAAGAGGGCAAGCAAAAGCTAGCAGGGTGTGCTAGGTGCCGCATATTCACAGCCATTTCTGATGGCTGTCTCATCTCATCTATTCCACTGAACTATTTACTCTGGAGCTCAGTGGTCAATCAGGAGCAATTCATCTTCCCATCCCTAGCCAAGGACCTTTGTCTAGTTGGAAACATCTTTGGTTGTCACAACTGGGGTATGAGATGACACTAGTACCCAGTATCTAGAAACCAAGTATGATACTAAATGCCCTGGGATGCAAAACACAGTCAAAGCTGATCACACATGGTTCTTGACGTGAATCTTCACAGCAATGTCTCTTTATCTTTTAGGGTTTTTGGGGGAGAGGTCATGGGATTCCCAATCTAATGAAAACAAAGACACTGTCTCCAGAAAGACAACTAACAGTACAAAGTATTGCATTGTATTTCAACAGAATTTATATACTTGATATCCAAGAATATCAGGAAGGTTAAAAAAATCCATTTATAGAAGAGGAAGGGAATTTGCAAATTATCTTCAGAGTTCAACAAGACTGAGAATAGTCTGCAGGGTAAACTACAGGATTGGAAGAACCAAGCAGCAAGAGACTAGGTTTAGTACGGCTACTGACATCCGTCTGTTCATGGGCTGTTGCTGTACAAAGACATGGTGGGATGTGCTACAATAATGAGATTTAAGAGAAGAATGAACTTGGGAAAGGATATGAGAATGTAATACTATACATTTATATTCTTACATGTTTTGTTATGAATTTTCCTAAAATCAAGGCTCATTTTCACAGTCAATTATTTTCAACAGAAATTATCAAATGTTTAAATGTGAAGTGAGTAACACCCAAGAACTGTCCTGCTGTTGTGGTAGTAAATGAATAGTGACCTGGTAGAAGCCATCCAATCATCAGACTTGTTCACATTTTATGCCAAACTATCCAGCAGTTCTTGTCCCTCACCAATCTGATTTTATTTTCTGTTATTGATAGGATCTTACTATGTAGCACAGGCTGGCTCTTGCTTAGCTGCCTAAGAACTGGGATTACAGGCATAAACCACCAGGTATGGTCCTTTCATTCTTTTCAGTGGCCAATATTACACTTTTTAAAGTCTCTCCTCCAATCAGCAAGTTTTTCAGAATTAAAATCTATAACTGAACAGGAAATTGGTTCACTAGTTTCTTCTCTAATAGTTTTGTGTGTATATGTTATATTGTTGGTAAGCACCTGTGGGTAAGGACTGATTCTTAACCTCTTCTCTTTAAAGAACATCTAGTCAGGTTTATTAATAAATGAATTTTAAAAAGATAACTTTAAACTTCTGGCTCTCAAATATTACAGTCTTGTGAATTAAAGATGGTACAACTCAGCTTGAACAGTATCATTTTTTTCAATAGATGTAGAAGGAAATGTATTTTCCATTCACATTAAGCCCAAATTGAGTTACGTTTGGGAGAGAAATGCAAACCACAAGACAATTTCCAGGCTTTAGATATCAAAGGTGGGTGAGATGAATATTATACTTTGTAGTTATCTCAAATTGCATTGACTGAATGGTTTTTCTTTTAGAGATTTCTATGAAGGTATTTTAATACAGGCTTAAGCAAGAGGGTTAGGAGAAAAAGAGGCACTCAGCAAAAAGACATACTCAAGTGTAGGAAAGAGTGCCTCAAAGGAGATGGAAGTTTTTAACATCTACCACAATTTATTTAACTGCAACAGACCCTCAAAACATGTGCATTTGCTAAAATAATGACTGCTGCATAACCACATTCCAGTGAACTGGTCAAATATAAGTACGTTTTGAGACAGTGGTCAAAGTCTTAGTCTGACAAAGATTACTCAGGGCTGACGGGTTTTGGAATCGAGAACCCTAATCCAGTTCTCAAGCCTATTTCATGTCGCTTTAGCAACTCAAGTACGCAAAGTATTCTGCATACGGTTTTCTATCCGCCCAGAAGTACTGAAAATGTCTCTTCTGCACAATTATCCAGCCAGCAGACCACTGTTCCCTGAATAAACTTAAGGGGGAGGGGGCGGGGGGAAAAACAAAAAACAAAAAGCCAGGTGTGGTGGTGCACACCTTTGATCCCAGCACTTGGAGGCAGAGGCAGGCGGACCTCTGTGAGTTCGAGGCCAGCCTGGTCTACACAGCGAGTTGCAGGCCAACTAGGGCTACATAGTGATAGCCTACTTTATTTATCCATAGATATCTGAGTCTTCAAAAGCAAAATGCATCTGTAAAAAATGGAAGTTTTTGTTGCGGAACGCAAAACCGCTAACTGAAACAATTCAGACCGAATGCAAAACACAGAGAACGATGGGCTGAGCAAGAGCGGCCCCACAAAGGTTCCCACGGAAAAGTTGGGGGCCGACTTGACCCGCGGCGCGCGCCTCCTCCGCCCACAGCGCGCCGGGGGCCCAGCCCGCCCGCACTCACCTGCGCTCCGCACGTGGCCCGGGGCGCAGCGAGGCCACACAGGCCCGGGGCAGACGCGCCGCACGCGGCCTCGGCCGAGCCCTCCGGCCCTAACTTCCAGCTCGCAGAGCCGCAGCAGCCAGCACGCATCTTGCCCACAGCCACTTCCGGAGGCGCTCTAGGAAGCCCGGAGGTCTGACAACTCTATGGTCTGCCGGCGGAGGATGGACGCCGGCTCCTCCCGCGGCGGCTGGCGGCGTGGACAGCGAGTGACGCAACTTGATACCTCCTCGCTTCTGCCTGGTAGTTGAGGGAGTGGCGGCGCCGCACGAACTCTGGGCCTCCGAGGTAACCCTGTTTATGAATGACGCCAGTCCTCCAACATACACTGCTGATAGGGGAACTGAGTCCTCTGTGGTCGTGCATCTTACACCGTGAAGTAGTCAAAGGTAGTTCCAATCGAATCTAAATCCCCTTTGTATCTTTGAGTATTTGCTACCTATCTTAAGGAGCTGCCGTCTGTTAGAAAACTTGCTTTCCCCTTAGCTTTTAAAATGCAGAGTCTACGGTGTAAGCTCCAGGAATAGATCCTACTTTTAAGCCAAGGTTGGAGAACATTCACTATGTACCTGTCGAGTAAAATCTTGTTTTAACTTTTTAGACTAGTGTAGTCTCTGAGGCAGAGGTTGTGAGAAACGTCTTTGGTTGTTTTGGTTTCGTTTCCATCCCTTTAGTGGTTTGTCCTAACCATTTTTTCTCAGTTTGCAGGAACCTCTGCACAATTCACTTAATCTCCCATGTTTCTAGCCATAAACGTTTTGTCGACCCACCAGGATCAGGTCTTAGTAGTCCGAATTTAAGGGTTTTACCATTTAATCACTGCTACCAACTGAGCTATAGTCTCAGCCCAAAACTGCTCTTTTGGGTGTGTCCGCGGGCCGGCAGGTGGAGTCAGGTGTCCTCTTCGGTAGCTCTCCACGATAATTTTGAGATAGGGCCTCTCGCTGAACCCAGAGCTCACTTGTTAGGCTAGATTGGCTGACCAAGCTCCAGGGATCCTCTTGTTTCCAGCCTTTCAGCACTGGGATTGGTCTGCTGATGACCAGAACTCGGATTCTCATGAGCAACTGCCCCAGCTCGCTGAACCTCTTACATGTGTTTCTTCATTAGATCTTACTTTTATTCATATTGTCCCCTGCTCAAGGGGTGCAGTCTGGGCTACACTCCATCTTTCCTTCAAAGGTCTGGCTCCCATTTCACTTTAACAGAACGCTTCTAATAACCCAGTTCTTTTAAAATGAGAAAACTGCAGACAGGCAATACAGAGGACAGAATGTGACTCATTTCAAGTTCAGGTTGGAAGTGAAACAGACCTACTTCCTCTCCCTCCCAAGAACTAACTCAATAGTGCAATCGAAGGATGCTTTACTGGATCAGAAAATTTAAGGAATTTTTGGAAAATAGCACTTAGAATCAGATTGAGCTACATTCCGATCAGACTGGGAGCTGCAGAGGCAACACCAGGGCCAGGTGTGCATCTGCAGTGGTGCCCTGAAGAAGTTCTGACCTGACAATGAACAACTGCAAAGGGCAAGAGGGGGTCATTTATTTTAAGACAGTGTGGCAGCTGCACATCCCTCCTTTGTAGAGGAGAGGTGCAGCTTTTGTCTTCTGGCTACAGCCTGGTTTCTGCTTTGTAAAGCAAACGGGGAGAGCGCTTACTGGGAAGATGCATCCGAAAATACAGAATATAAGGTGTCTCTAGACCTTGTTACATTTATTTCTGTGTATATGTGTGTAGGCCTGTACACTTGCCACAGCATGTGTGTGGGGATCTGGAGACAATTTTTTGGGAGTTGGTTTTCTCCTTTCACAGGTTCTGGGATCTAACTGAATGGAATCTGGGTCCTCTGGAGTGATGACTCAGCAGGTAAAAGCATTGGCTGCTCTTGCAGAGGACCTGGGTTCAGGACCCAGCACCCACATGGCAGCTAACAACCACCTGTAACTCGAGTTCCAGGGGATCTGATACCCTCTTCTGGCTTCTGAGGGTACTGGACAAATGTAGTGCACTTATACACATGCAGGAAAAGCACTCATAAAATAAAAATAGTTATCATTTTGAGACAGGATCTTGTGTATTCTATAGTAGCCTCAAACTCCAGATGTTCAAGATGACCTTGAACTTACAATCTTCCTGCCTTTACCTCCCAAGTTCTGGAATTGTAGGTATTAGCTGCCACATCAGTTTATGTGGTGCTGGGGAATGAACTCAGGACTTCATGCATGCAAGGCACTTTACTGAGCTACATCCCTAGACAGTGTTCAAACTTAAAATGTAGTTCTTCAGTTGACTATTACATTTCAGGTGCTTAGTAAGTCCAGGTACCTCGTGGCTACTGTCAGACAACAGGTCTGGGTGGACTCTGCCTACACTCATGGTTAAGTCAAGGGGTAGAGGAGAGGGAAGCACCAGAAGTGTAGAAGAAGGAAGAAAAAGGTCTGCCTAAATGCAGGGTGCGCTTTTTATGCAAATCACATATCTGAGGACAGATTTCTCTGATTCGTACTAGTAGGACTTTACAAAGTAGACTTAAAATTTTTAAAAAGATTTTTGTTTGTGAGTGTTTGCCAGCATGTATGTGTGTATGTGTGCAGTGCCCTCAGGGGTATCGGATCCCTTGGAACTGGAGTTGTGGATAGTTGTGAGCCTCTGTGTAGGTACTGGAACTGAACCCAGGTATTCTGGAAAAGCAGCAAGTGCTTTCAACCAAGGAGCCATCTCTCCAGCCCCTCCACCTTATTCTTTGAGACAGGTTCTCTCACTGAACGGTGATCCTGATCATTATTGGTTCCTCAGGACTGGCTGGCCAGCAAGCCCCATGGATCCTCTTGTCTACCCCTCCTATCCCCTGGGATTACAGTTATGCACCACCATCCCCAGCTTCTTTACTTGGGTGATGGAGACTGAACTCAGGTCCTTGTGCTAGTGAAGCAAGCATTTCTACCAACTGAGCATCTTCCCAGCCCCTAACCTATACTAGATGACCCACTGCCTTAAATATGATTGATGTTAATGTATTAGAAGTGTCTCTTCTGCCTCCTGAGATGGATCAGTTCGTGAGCAGTGTTATCAAACGAGGCTATGTTACGCAGTGGCTCCCTCCTGTGTGTACTAGCTCCCTTTCTGCCTTTCCATCACATGGTGACATAGTGAGGGGCCCTCACCATGATACAGGTTGTAATGGTGTTAGGATGCTTCAGCCACCAGATCTGTGAGCCACAATCAGTCTCTTATGGTACAAATTACAATAGAAACAAAGAATAGACTAAAACAGCTTCCTGACTCAAAAAAAATTTCTTTTTAAAAACCCACTAGTTTCCACCTGTCCCATGGGAGAGAGCAGTCCCCCATACAATTACTGTCCTGTCTGTGAAAACTTACAGAACACTGTGAATGTGTATGGTACAACCCTTCAAGAAAGTACCTTCTGCTGGAGAGATGGATTAGCAGAGCTGCTCTTGCACAGACATGGACTTGGTTTCCAGCACCCATGTGGCAGCTAACAACTGTCTATAACTCCAATTCCAGGGGACCAATGCCTTCTTCTGGCCTCTGGGGGGTACTGTACACATGGCTGCACTTATACACATGAGACAAAATGCTCATCCTCATATTAAAAAAAGAAGAGCTGGGTGTGGTGGTGCATACCTTTTATCCCAGCACTGGGGAGGTAGAGGTGGGTGGATTTCTGAGATTGAGGCCAGCCTGATCTACTTAGTGCATTCCAGGGCAGTTGGAAGACCCTGACTCAAAAAAAAAAAGAAAGAAAGAAAGAAAAAAAAGAACCCTCCTTTCCATCTTCCAGTTCATGAACAAGTGCTATACATCCAGGATGGCTTTGTTAGGAACCAGAGAGTCTGACTTTAGTGTTCAAAATGGCCTGTCTTCTTTCTGGTAACTACCTGTGGCTGGACTCAGTGCTTTTCTTTCCCACTGGAGTTTCTGCCGTGACTTTTGATGATAAAAGGACAACCTAGGGTGTCATTCCTCATGATGCCTGTTTTTTTTTTTTTTGACAGGTTCTCATAACAACTTGCTAGAACTTGCCAAGGAGGCTAGGCTGGCTGGCCAGTGAACCCTACCATCTGCAAGTCCCAGCTTCCCCAGTGCTGGGACTACAAGTGTACATCACACCTGTTTTTTTTTTTAAACATGGGTTCTGGGCATTAAACTCAGGTCTTTGTGTTTGCAAAGCAAGTGCTTTGCCCATAGCTATTTCCCAGCCCCAACTCCTTTGATCTTCCACCTTTGCCTTTCTGCTGTAGGTATCCCACATTCACTCACCTTTCTTCTCTTGCCTATATTATTCTGGGATGTCCCTGGGCCTACTGTTTTCAGTCCTTCCTTGAGTCTTTCCATCACCTATACAGTGGTAAAGACTGTGCTGGTAATTTTGTGTTAACACCAAAGCTGGTGGTTCTGCTCCAAACTCCACACAGCCTTTCCAAGTGCAGAATAGCCCTTTGTAATAGGTGTTGAGAACTGCTAGCGGGACTGAAGTGTTGTGTGACAGAGAGGAAGATGCATGTCCGAGCACTCCAGGAGGCCTATGTCGCAGCCACTGATTATCTTTCTCCTTGTTGCAGATGCTGCTCTAAGTTCAAAGAATAAAATCACAGCCATGAGCTTCCCCTTTAAAGACTGAACAGTTTCCAAGTGTCATAGTGTCTCAGGAACACCCAAGGTAAATGTTATTATTTGTTAAACACCTGACTTTACTTGTAAAATAAAGATATTTCAAAAACTAAAAATTAAGCAATTTTTTCTCTTTGTGACCATTAGGAAATCTCTTTCTCAAATGTTTCAAATGCTTTGAAAATTGCTCAAATACTATAGTAAACCATTGAATATGGTATTAGTGTGAAAGTTGACATTTAAGAATGTATTAGTCGATAGGTGACTTCCAGAGTAGACATTTAATTAAAAAAGTGGGGCCGGTTCAGATGACATGAAAACTGTTTCTTTTAGGAAGAATGTCTTAGCATCAACCTTCCTTATTAGTAAAGTCTAAATATGAATTTTATTTGTTTCAGAGGCACCTCATACATACTCCCCAAAGTAACTTTATACAATGACTTGAAAGTTTTTGTGGGGCTAGAAAGATGGCTCAGTGGTTAAGAGCACTGGCTGCTCTTGCAGAGGATCTGGATTTGGTTACCAGCACCCACATGGTAGCTAACAATTGTCTATAACTTGCGTTCCAGGGGATCCATTGCCCTCTTCTGACCTCTGTAGGCATTGCATGACATAGGTGCACTTACATACATGCAGGCAATACACATAAAATAAAAATGAAATAAAAAAAAAGGTTTTATAAAAGTTCGTGTATTGTATCAGAAGGGCCTTTCCCCCTGTGGGATGCTGAACAAACTGTGTTGACTGTCTGTGCTTTGACTACCACTCATCCTGTAAAGTCAGCTATGGAACTTTACATTTGTAGCATCATGTTGGCTCACAATCCATGTTTTGTATTTGGAGTGTCCAGTCTTTGATGTGGCTAGTGCCACTGAGACAGTGAATGTTCCACTTGGTTTTAATTCATATAGCCATGTGTAGGCACTCCACACTGCAGCAGATATGGTCATGTGTGGACACTCTGTACTGCATCAGACAGTTCAGTTCTAGACCAACTTCTCCCCATCTTCTGCAGTATACAATGGCCCAAGATCCAGAAAAGTGGCTTATCCAAAGTATGGCTCCTCAACCCATTCTATCACCCTTCCAAGCAGTCCTACTGACCACTTACTGCTTTCCCTTCCCATGCCTCCTGATTCTTTATCACTGCAAACAAAATTCTACAAAATAACCACACCCCCAATTTCAAAATTTAAAAAAGGAATACTTAGGCTGGCAGTCATGGTGGAAAGCAGTTAGCATTGGTTTAGTTTTTAATTTCAAAGATGACTTTTATCAATCTTAACTTGTCAAAACATAGCTGATGGGCCTCTCTTATCACCGAGGAAAAACAAAGGCAGAGAAAAGCTGAATGTCTTACCTGGTGTCATACACTGAATGGCCGAGTTCATGTCCAAACAGCAACATCAATCTTGGGTTAAAACAAGTGAGTAATGTTGTCAGCCTTTTTTTAAAAAAGACAGTCTTTCTGAAGCCTAGGTTGGCCCTCAACTCAGGGCAGTCCTCCTGCCTTAGCTTCTCAAGAGTGGTAATTAAGATTATATCATATGTATAAGCTAATACATCAGGTTAAAGCCTTCTGAAATGACTCTTGATGCTTCTCAAAAAACTGAACTAAATTAGAAATAAAACGGAGTCTCTGGGTCAGAGTTTTTACTGATGACTGAAGCTTTGCCCACATTAAGGACACTCATGGTCTCTAAGGCAGATTCTGACAACTAATTAGGCCTGAGCATTAAAGAACTTTGGTGACTTCTTTTTAGTAGAGCTTATTGCTGTATGAATTCTCTGATGTCTGACCAGAGCTGAACTTACACAGAAAGGCCTTCCACACTCACCGCACTCATAGGGTTTTTCACCTGTGTGGATTCACTGATGTTGAATAAGACGTGTGTGTCCACTGAGATCTTTCCCGCACTCTTTACATTTATAGGGCTTCACTCCAGTGTGTACTCTGTGGTGTCCAACAAGATGTGAGTGTTGAATGAAGGCTTTTCCACACTCGTCACATTTGTGGGGCTTCTCCCCAGTGTGAGTTCTCTGGTGCTTCCTAAGGTCTGAGCTACAACTGAAAGGGTTCCCACAGTCCCTGCATTTGCAGTGTCTTCTTCCCCTCTGCTGCCACTGTACTCTTCCCTGACTTTCAGTAGCATCTTTGGAGTCAGGATGCTGAGAGACAGCTTTGCTAACTCTGCTGTATATATCCCCAAGGATCCACATCCATGGGCCTATGATGACTCTTCATGCTCAGTCCTGGTTTTAGCACCTGCAATGAAAAGTATATGAGCTAATTCTACTCTAGGTCTGAGAAGCGAAAAGCCCACAGAAGAAAGAACACGTAAATAGGAATGATTGCAAAATAATGAGGAGTAATACACATTGCCTCCTACTTGGTACTATTTTGGTTTTATAACATTACTGTCACAATATAGGAAAGAAATACCAGGAGACCAGGAAGGAGGATAGCCGCAGAATAATTTATTGGATAATAGATTGATAGGAAAAGGCAAATATGTAGATCAAGGCACTTTCTAGTGACACTGCACAGTGGCAAATGGGGACTGTGAATATGCCAAGGATAACAAGGAGCAGAGAGACCAGAGACAGAGGATAACAAGGGACAGAAGGACCAGAGGGACAGAGACCAGAGGATGATGGAGGACAGAGACCAGAGACAAAACAACGAGAGGAGGGAAAAGAGGTTAAAAACTCAGGAAAAACACGCAGGCCTGAAGCAGGCAATGAGTGAGAATAAAAATGGGCAAAATGACTGGAGAGGAAAATAAAATTTGGAGTATGAAAGAACTGTAGAAACCATTGGAGAGGGAGAGTACGTGCAGTGTTCTTATTTCTGTGACAAAATACCTGAGAAAACCACCTGGAAGGGTTTATTTTGGCTCATAGTTTCCCATGTTTGGCTGGTTCCATCACTACAGAAACGTTATAGTGGAAGAAAGCTGTTCACTCCATGGTGGGCAGGAAGCAGGGGCAACCAATGGAGTCAGCAATAATACATCTTGTTCCAGGGCACACCTCAGTGACCTACTTCCTTCACCGAGACCCCATCAGCTAAGAACCTTGAGTATGAACTCAGGGTAGAAACCCATTGTTTAGTTTCTCTTTGCTCCAATCACCTTTCCATCCCACCACCAGCTGGGGACCAAGCCTTTAACACACAAGCCTTTTGGAGGTGGTCGGGGGTGGTACACATCACATCACATCCAAAGTACAACAGGAGCCCAGTAATTAGTTAGAGTGAGATCACAAGAGTCAGGGTACATGGGAGAAAGAGAAAACAGAAAATGACTGGATTGTCTGGTATAAGTGCTGGGATAAATTTTTAAACCTCAGCACTTGGGAGGTTAAGAGAGAAGGACCATGAGTTTGAGGCCTTTCTGGGCTACATAGCAACACTGTCTCAAAACAAAGAACTATCCTAACTTAGTAGTTCAAATTTTATGTATAAAAATCACCTGGGTTGTTTGTTAAAACAGATAACTAGGTTCCTCCTAACCTTCAGCTTCTGCCTTGAAAGGCCAGAGCAGAGCTGGAGTCTGTACTTCTGGTAAGTTTCCTGGTGAGACATTCCAGGAGCCACATTCAGAACCAGTGGCTCAGCAGAAGATCCACAGTCCCTCTCAGATGCTGTCTCCTCTAGGAAGGTTTCCCTAATCCCCTAAACTAGGTACATCCTCTCCTTCTTCCTGATTTTCACACTCCAAACCCCAGTCTTAGAATGGCACACAGCAAATTCCGAATAAACAGTTTAACTGAATTCTGCAAGAAAATAGCTGTCTTGAAGGTTTGGAAGGCTTAAAAGCTACCACCTATTTGATCAAACTACTATCAAACTCTAACTCGCAGAATAACAATTGTGCAAGAACTTTGATTATGGATCAGTTTTAGTAGTTCATCTGGAAATGAACAGTAAGAGCCACCGGAACATTTCATGCCAGGACCGAGTGCACGGATTTGCTCTTCACTGTGACTACCATAACCTCTTCGTACCAGATCTTCTGCACCTTACCACATTCCATATAATAATGTTTTGAGATAAACTCGCCTACAGTTGTAGAGCTGAAATTGCAGTGCTTGGCAGCCATGCTTACTCCGTGGTCTGCAGGGGAGAAGCCTTTCTCACTCTGCCTCTTGGGCTTCTGGTATTCCCACTGTTTGGATGTGAGAGACTGTAGCTTTACTTTCTGCCTTGATATTCATGGAGTGCCCTCTCTCGTGTGCTTGTGTCTAAGGTGCCTGTAATTAGTTTTATCAGACAATGGACTTCTATGAAGGTTTTGTTATTTTCTCTATGATAATATTGTTTTAGAATCTAAATGACTGTTATCCCTAAACAGAAATCATGAGGATCAGATTGGAGCCAGAAGGTCCAGATTCTAGTCCTGGTTCTGCTGGTAACTGTTGAAATTGAGACAGACAAGGAGCTCTTTGGTTCTTTGTCAGATCTGTGTCTCTTTACCTACTCTTCAGATGATCAGTTGGTGGAATGTATACAGCGTCTGGACAGAGGCGAAGTTAGTAAGGCAATAAATATCCAGGTAGTCATGGGTGGTCATAAACACTCCCACACTACCATTAATGATGCTTTCAACATCAACGTATTAGCCCCACAGCTTCTTTTATGAACTGGAGTCTCTATTGGTTGGCTTTCTGGTAATTACTGATGAAGATGAACATTTAAAGAAAAAGATACACCAAGTCAGCACCAGTGGTCCAACGACTGTCTTCAGAATAACCAACCAGTCTGGGATGCATCCCTCTTCCACAGCTTCAGAAGAAAGCTGAAGAAAAATCTTTCATCAGGTTTTGAATGTTTTTTGAAAAAAATACAGTGTTAATTTTTCTTAACTAGCAATCCAAATTATAAACCTCCCCCTTACATCTGTAACCACCCATGTAAAAAAGCATGGAAACTGTCCAGTGTGAACTTTTCTTAATTCAGGGAAGTGTAATCTATTTAGCCAACTAACTTTGAGGGTCTTGTTTATGTTTCTGAAGTGCGAACTTCTCCCAAGGCTAGTGTGATTCCAGGGAGCCTTGTTTCAGAGCTGAGAAAACGAGCCATACTTTGGTCAGCATTCTCCTTCCATGGCCGTTCTTTCAGTGGTATTTTGGCACATATAATAACAAGCATCCTTATCAGACAGGTTCAGCTCTGCTGGTCACTGAGATGAAGACAAGTCCACAGAGGCCATTTGGTTCTCATGTGCAGTCTGACACTTGACAGCAGATGGAATGCTGAATGATGAAACTAGAACAGTTACAGGGGCTGATGTTATCTCGCTGCAAATGGACAAAGTCAGTGTTCTGGGCTACCACATGTCCAAACAAGGCGGGGCGTGCTAGTGCACACCTTCAATCCCAGGACTCTGGAGACAGGCAGGTGGATCTCTGTGAAATGGAGGCCAACATGGTCTACATGGTAAATTTCAGGTCAGCTGTGGCTACAGGGAGACTGTATCTTAACAAACAATTGAAACAAACAAACAAAAATGTCCAAAGAGACCCTGTTTACTTTTGAAATACTTTAACATGTGTTCTGCAGAGTTGTTCAGGTATTTAGCTATCCCAGTTTTTCTGTCATATATAAAGATCATTTGATTGTAGGTGATTGCTCTTATAATTCCCAGTTAAATAAACATGGATGTGACTCTCACCACCACAGCAAGGTCCAAGTCTAATACTACCTTGTCAATGTGGATACAATGTAGTTTTTATGATTAAAAAATACTGCAGAGGGGCTGGAGAGATGGCTCAGAGGTTAAGAACACTGGTTGTTCTTGCAGAAGACCCAGGTTCGAATCCCAGCACCCACATGGCAGCTAACAACTGTCCATAACTCCAGTTCCAAGGGATCTGACAGCCTCTTCTGAGCCCTCTCCACTGGCATTGCACGATACGGGTGTACTTACCTACATGTAGGCAATACACGCATACACTTCAAATAAAAATTATAAATTTTAAAAAATCCTGCAGAAAATGAATCTTCTACTCAATGGTAAGTTTACTTTTAAAACATTTACTTTAAAAGGAGATAGTTTTAAAGACATTTCTCTGGGCACCCTAGGTTCTGATGCTAATCTCAGTTCTGCCTCTAATTCAAGGAGACTTGGACAAGTCACTATGGGTATATTCATTCCTCTGTAAAATGGGGACTTGGATCAGATATCATGTACTTTCAAGAAAGCCGAAAGGTTTAGTTTTTAATTGTATGTGCTGCAATTCTTGCAAGATGTTTTGTTTTTGTTTCACGTTTGGCTATTTTCTGGTGTAAAGTGTGGGACACATAAAAATTGTGGGAGATGGCTGGTGGTATGCCTTGCTATGAATCATATTCAGTTGGACTTTCCTAAGAGTTTTCAGTCCCCCCAGGACTGCTACATTTCCTGAGTCTCATATTTTAACTCCTCATCAGTCTCTTTTTTCAAAAAAAATTCATATACTATTTTTATTTTATGTGTATGTGTGTATTGCCTGCATGTAGGTAAGTGCACCCCTGTCACACAGTGCCCATGGAGGTCAGAAGAGGATGTCGGATCCCCTGGAACTGGAGTTATGGATGGTTGTTAGCTGCCATGTGGGTTCTGGGATTCAAACCTGGGTCTTCTGCAAGAACAGTCAGTGCTCTTACCCACTGAGCCATCTGTTCAGCCCCGAACCAGTCTCTTGAAAGGTTATTTTGGTGGCAGTGTATGCACATACTTCTTTAATTTTAGGTATAAGATGCGTGTGTTTTTCTGGACTCAGGTTAACAGAAGTGTAGCAGAATGCATACACCAGCATTTAGAGAAAAACGAAAGGACCACACAGAATTTAGAGTCCGAAAAGACAGCCAGTGGTCAGCATAATGGAATCTAGCATGGTGACATGTTAAATTATTCTTGTGAACTACTTTGTGAACTGGCCCTCTCGCCTCCCAAATTTGTTTACTAAAGTTGACAGTCTGCACCTTTTAGCAGTTAATTAATGGTAATTAACTCTCCCCCTGCCCCTAGCTTTTTTCCTTTTTTTTTTTTTTTGAAACAAATCTCATGTAGCCCAGACTGGCTTCAAACTTGTTATGTAGTCAAGGAAGACTTTGAACTCCTGATCCTTCTGTCTCTGCCTCCCAAGTACTGGGATCACGGCTGTGTACCACTCCCCCAGCCTCCATTTTCCATCACACTCCTGTCATCATCTTGGTCCTGTTAATCTCTCCAGTGACTGCATTCTTTTCTGCTGCTTCTTTCTTATTTTATTTTTATTTTTGAGACAGGGTTTCACTATGTAGCCTGTCTGGCCTGGAACTCACTGTGTGACTCGCTGGCCTGTCTCTGCCACCACATCTAGCCTCAGGTTGTTTAGTCACAGGTGAGGTGTAACCTGATTACTGTGTATGTAAAATATAAGGTAGTAATTCATTTGGACTATAATAGTATTTTATAATTTTGAGCAGATGGTCTCACTCTTTAAGTTTAAAAGGAACTTCCTCTGCAGGGCTGGAGAGAAGCTCAGTAGTTAGAGCACTTGCTACTCTTCCCTTCCAGAGCCGGGCTCCCAGCACCACATATACGCAACAGCGTGATTCACCAGAACATCTGAGTTTTTTTCTTTTCTTGATAGGTGTGACTATGGCTGCCAGTCCTCCTTCTCCCTTACAGAACCTTCTTTCCTTACCCAAATTTTATAAAGAGCTGTATCTTCAGGACTTTCCATTCACTCTTCTGGTCAACTTCATCTACATCTGAGACTTCTATTACTTAGTGGGGAAGGACTCCTGAAATCTTTCTTCTCACACCTCTGTGCTGAATCTAGAACCACATATCGAAACTGAACTACCTGCTGGATTTTATGTATTTGGATGTTTCACTACGAATTCACACACAGAAAAGTTTAATTCACTACTTTTAACTTCTCTTAACAACGTATTTATCCCTCTTCTACTTCTCTTTTCAACTACTGTCACCTTTGTCTGCCCAGCTGTCCAAATTACTACCTTAGACTGCATGAAAATTATCACCCCGCCCCACCTAATGGTTCATTCTACTTCTTTTTTTTTGTTTGTTTTTTGTTTTTTAATCATTATTTTTTTTATTTTTATTTTTTCATACAGAAGAATTCATTCCAAAGCAATTGACATTGAGACGTTTTCACATGCATTTCTAATCTCTATATACATGACTATCACTGGTCACAGTCGCCCACCTTCTGAGCTCCTCGGCATCTGAGCATGATTACA